TCAGAGCTGCCGTTTGAGCAAGCTCGTTGTTTTGCAGAGAGTGGCTGTGCATGTCACCCAGGCCACAAACAGCACAGCTAAGCTAGCAAACACCATCAACTCCTGCACAGCCTGAGGGCCTAGAGAAGGTGTGCAAAACGTTTAGAGAAATGAAATGAATACCCTAAACACAGCCTTGTGGGTGCTGCAAGAGAAACCTGACGTGGCTCAATCACAAGCAACCTCTAAGCTTGTTTGCCTGTGTGTCACATAAGGAGAGGTCCCTGTGTTGTAAGGAGGGATCTCTGAGCAGATACTGGCCAGAGATTGCCCCTATCTTGATATTAGCTCTTAGGTTGATGTGCTGCACCAACACGACTGATCTGCTCGTCTGACCTCACACAAGCCTTAATTTTAAATGTCTGAAGTCTTAGCAGCTTAAAAGCACCTGTTTTCTTGCTTTCTCTCCAAACTGATCATTACACGCGTGCGATTGTGTCTAGATACCAAGCTTGGCCCCGAAGCCTTTCGCTTTGACACTGGAAGTGAAGCCATGGCAACGAGGCTCAGCGAGCGCTACTACATCCTGCGCCCAGAAGTGGTGGAAAGTTACCTGTACATGTGGCGACTGACGCACGAGCCCAAGTACAGGCAGTGGGGCTGGGAGGCTGTGAAGGTACGGCTGGGGAAAGGGGAGGAAAAACTTGGATTCTTGCAAGCATCTTTTTCAGTCAAGAAAAAGCAAAAGTGATTTGAATTGCATTATTCACTAAGACACATTAGCAATGGTGCAGGAATATACAGAATAGTTCAATTTAGTGGGGCTTCTCTGCTGATCATGGTAAATATTTTCTTCTCCCTTTTGACCTATATCAAAACTGTAGAGGTTTATGGAGAGGAATGCTGCAGATAGTGAAACCTGCTATTAATGAAACAGTCCTTGTACCTGAAATATGTGGACTGCTCAGAACCACTGGTTTATAGTTGACCAGAAAAAAAGGGGCAGGCCTGCCTTTGCCCTTCCTCCTCTCCTGTCTTCTTCTTGCAAAGACCTCCCAGCCAGCAAGACCCTCTCTTTCCAATTAATCCAATAGCCAGTTGACTGCTGCCCCACATCCTAGCAGGGACCCACTTCAGTGGCAGAATTGTCACTCATCTAGTGCCCTGGAAAAGACGTTCTGCAAATAGCGAGTTGCCACTTGAGACCTCTTGTTGCTTTGGGTGTAACGTCAAGGTCAATCAATCAGCCAACTTAGGCAGTCTGTGTTTCTCTTGCTATTTCATTAGAACTAGCTTTATTCCTGCCGTAATCACGATGCTCTTCAGTGAGAGAAAGAAACTACAAGAAATCTGGAATTTGATTTGTAAAACTGACTTGTGATGGGACTGATGATGCTTAACGACTTCCTCCATGTTACAGTATGTAACTGACATCTCTTTTCCTTTCTCAGGCCCTGGAAAAACACTGCAGAGTAGAAGCAGGTTTTTCTGGCATCCGAGATGTTTACAGCACAACCCCAACCCATGACAACATGCAACAGAGTTTTTTCCTCGCAGAGACTCTGAAGTAAGTATCACAGAAGCCTTTCAGAACAGCATAATTCCCACATCATCAATGCTTTTGATGCTACACATCTTTCTGCATGATAAGTCTTTTATCCTCTGCATGATAAGTCTTTTATCCAATCTGCAGGGCAGATTGGACAAGATTATAGGTGCTGCGAAGCTTTAGTAACTTCTTTCTGCAGAACCACTGCTGTCACAGGCACTCTCTGAGTTCCTGCTTCTGCCCTGGGTTTGTGGGATGCTTCCTTCAATCCAGAGCTGTGCTAAGCAAGTGGGAGACAGAGCTGGCCCCTCTGCCGGGTTATTGCTCTGAACAAAGAGGAGGCATGAAAATGGCCCGGGTATATTTCTCTGTGGCCTTCAGTTGATCTCATTCTTGGCACAAATCTGCCTTTGCTGGTAGCCTGAGCTCATGTTTGTGGGGTGGCCGTGGGCAGGTGCACATCCCATTCCCCCAGCAGAAAAGCAAGGCAAGGAACATATCACCATAAGCCATGGCAGCCCCATCCGAATGCCGCTCGCAGGGCTTTTTTGCATGCTTGGAGTCCCATTTGAGTGGCCTAAAATCTCCCCTTGTGTCTCCTTCCTCCCTCGCGTTGCCGTGCGGCTCCAGGTACCTCTATCTTCTGTTCTGTGAAGACGATGTGCTCTCCCTGGACGACTGGGTGTTCAACACGGAGGCTCACCCCCTGCCCATCAACCACACGAACTTTAAAGCTAAAGCAGGGGTGCAGTAGGGAGCCGTTGCCCAGCACCTGCTTCCGCAGCGTCGGCGGGTTCCTGCATTTCCTTTCCATTAAAGGAATTCGTGTTGTTCCTAAAATGGTATTTTGGGGCACTAGTCCAATTCCGGACAGTATTATATCGGGGAGATGAAACCGTGACATAAGCACCTTTTTTTTTCCTCTGTGAGGAGCTCTATTAGCCTGAAAATGAAATGTTTATTCTGGGCCATATTGTACACAATTCATAGACATTCCTTTATACAGAGAATTTATATGAAATCCACTGACTTCGCTCTATAGTGGCCAAAGGATTGGAAGTTTGCCATAAAATAGACTTTCCCACACTCATACACATCTTTCTTTTCATATTTTTGTTTTGTTTTTGCCTTTTATATACCGTTGGATTTTATCGCCTTTCTAATTAACAGTTTTCAATATACTGTGCTTTCTAGGTGGTGTCAAAATTGTAATTAAATCAAAACCTGTCTGCAAAATTCTTGATCCTAATGTATTTTTATATCATTTTTCTGTGCTCTTAAATCACATTTACCATACATCACATCTCATTTAACTTTCCTTTATACTTTTTGTGTTTTTCTACTTTTATTTGGAACTAAATGTTATGAGTCACTTGTAATAATTTCACTGCTGTAATAGTCAAATCTGTGAAACGGAATAAAAGTCTTGTAAAATAAAAAGCATGTTTGGGTTGATCCTGCTTTAAAGCCATCTGTCAGACTTGTTACATTATGCTGGAAATGACTAGGTGACAATAGGGGTTGATTTTAAGAATGTTTCACAATAGATGTTGATTTACAGAGTAATCTAGTCAGCGTATGGGCAGTAATTCCAGTCTGCGCCAGCTCTTTGAAATTGCTTGTTTGCTGTCTGATGCAGGTTTGCAGGAGTTCTACTAAACATTTTATTTTCTAGCAAAAAACAAAAAATCCCCAGCTAAATTTGCTCCTTGGTGTGTACTATTTCTGGAATGAAGTTACAGGAGAAGAAGAAAGGACAAAAATGGAAGCAAGATTCTTGCATGTACCCTGCTCCTGGACTAGCTGTTGACCGTGACACGCCGCTCCGTCCTGACCCTGGCAGCTGTGAGCACCTGCCTGGCAATTCCAGCAACAAGGGCCGGATCCTCCTCAGCTTCCTTTTCCCTGGGGCCCTGCAGCAGCTTTTCCCCTGGTCACTGCGAAGCTACGTGGCCCTTGGTGACAGAACATTTTTCTCCATTCTTGTGAAAGAATATTTGGTTTATTCGGCAACTTGGGAAGATAAAGTTGCTTTGAGCATGCTGTGAAAACAAAAAGATGTGTCTCTGAATTCATACCTGTGTAATTCCCCCGGAGAAATAAGGTTGTCAGATAGGGACTTAACATCATCCCAGAGATAAAGACACTGTCTGGTAAGCTTGGCCTAGAGGAATGGTTATTGGTAAATAATCATCTTGGGAGTAAGCTGTCTTATCCAAGAGATTTGGATACTAGGAAGTCAGTTTAGCCCAGAGGATTCTTATAGTGGATTAAGGAAATTCCATAAATAAAAATGCCCTGTTTTTCAAGTAACTCAGAATACTGGCAACACTGAACACCTCCCTTCCCACCCCCCATCGCAAATAAGCAGCATTGCTCTAGCTCCCCTTAGAAATATCCTTGGTATTGCATTAAAACTCTGCTTGTTTTCTCTTCCACGCAAGTGTTCAGATATGGCAGTAAGCAAGTTTGCTGTTAATAGACTCACAAATGCTTCTGGAAGAAAGCTGCTGCTTTCCTGCAGTTCAGTGGCATCAAAAAACAGGCACTTTCTTTAGCTGCCCGAACGCCTGACAAGGTAAAGCTTATTGGTAGTATTGCTTACCAAGACACCCAAGTGGAGCTCAGCACCACTCACAAAGAAGAGTGTTTCCTGGAAATGACCATGAAATTTCCTCTCTTCTAGACTAGAATTCTGCAAATAGATCTGCCTGTGCTCACAGGTGTCTGCAGAGTTCCATTCCTGAGGACAGCGATTAATTGCAGATGTAAAGTTAAGCACACGCGTGTTCAGCGGGTTTGTTCCGAGGAGCAGCTCTGTTCCAAGGCCTGGCGCTGGCCCCCAGCTGGGATTCCCCCATCGTACGGGAATGCAGGTAATGGGAACATGGCCCTTTTGGCAAGTGCTGAGATCTCATGTCTCGGATCTTGCTCCTGCCCTCTATACTTCCTTCTTTAGGGAAGGGAGGAGAATCTGTTGCTGATTTATGATGTTTTTTCCACTTTTGGCTCACTTTTCCAGGAAGTGCGACCAGCTTAGCTTGTTTCTGGCCATTTCCTCTGTTGCATTCAATTTGAGGATCTGTGATTATTTTAATTATTTCAATTTTCACCATTAAAAGATGTGACCCTATATTATATCACAAGAAATTTCCCTCCAAGTTGTGATACAGAAAGTTGCATCATGTGATAGAGATGAAAACCAGTAACTCACTCCTTGCAGAAAGGCTGGATCTTGTTGCCTGACCATACAAGGAGATAAGACAAAGCTCTCCAGAAAACCAATGCATCTTTTTGTAACCTGCACTTCATTTTTACAGCGTTATTAAATTCCCTTGGAAGGCTTTCAGCAGAATTGGTTATTGGATTCAAAAGCCTGGCAGTCTTAGTGTTTTTCCACATACGTTTTGATCTGATCTATTTATCTGATTGTTTCAGATGTGATGCATCAAGTGCTGGCTCCCAGCATTAGCAGTCCCAAAGTTTCCACAGTTACTTCAGGTCGCGACTGGGTCTGTGGCTTCATTCCCCATGGAGCCCCAAACAGGTACTGTGCTCTAATTAGCAATGTAGAACACAACGAATGCTTTTGATTAACGAGATAGTGAGTATAAGAACTGTAAGGTACCACTGAATGGATGAGTATAGAGTGAATATAAAAGGTCAGGCTGCAAACGGGAGGAATTCCAGCCCATGCGGATTGAGTAGCATCGGCTCTTCTGCTAAATGGTCTAGTTGAAATGTCTCTCGCCAAACCTCCCTTCACTCCGCAGCCCCCGTTTCCCGTCCCTTTCCTGGCACTTTTCCGTGGCTGCCGGTGAGACCTGCCGTGGCAGCGCAGCTGTCCTTGGCCAGGCCACAGGCTCCTCTTCTGCCCTGAATATCCCTCTGGTTTTCCTGGCCCCTTCGAAAAGCCCCATGTGAAGCCAGGCTTGGACACTCCTTGTTCCCTACTGGTTTCCATAGGATTTATGCTCTTGGGCCACTGCATGGTCAAGACTTGTTTACTCAGTGGTTTTCCTGTTTCCAGGTGTTTTCTCCAATTACAGAGTCCAGGTTTTAACACTGCCTTCCATTACACCATGAGCTTAAAGTGGGCCAAGGATTCATCCTATGGGGCCATCAGTTTAAATTAAGGGACTCGGAATGTGCTCTCCTGGAACACGGACTTGCTGCATGGTATTCCAGCATCTGGAGAACCCATCTCACTGCCAGGAGGGTTGGGACAAGCTTTCAATTCCTGCAGTAATTTATCTATATTTTTCTTATTTTCAGCTGGTCTGTCCTAGCTGGCAAAAGGGAAATCTGGGAAAATTTTCCCTGCCATGCGAGTTTTTGTGTGTGTTGAACCTTCCTTATTAATTCTCTATCACAAGAATTTCCTTTGGTATAAATGTGGGCCACATGGCATGTGTCTGGATATTTAAAATTCCTCCTGCACGCTGTAATCTGTAATCCCCCAAACTAGCAGTGTAGAGCCAGGAATTGCAGGTATTGTCCTTTGAGAAGGATTAGTTCCCAGCAGATGCCCTGAGTTATTTCACCTTTTCTCTTTCATTCTTTAATCTGTCATCATTATATGGTAGCTGATGACACTGGGGATGGTTCAGATGTAAAATAAGTCACTTTGCTGCTTGTGAACTGTTGGGTACTTTGGCTGTGACAGCCCTGGCAGGTCTCCTTCTTCATGCCGGAGTCTGCGGGCTTTGTCATTTCTTATCACCTCTTGCTCCTGCCTGTTTCCCAGCCACCCGAGTGCATTTATCCCGTTTCAAAGCTATCTCATCCCGTTACATGTTGTGCTCTGAAGGTACTTGCTAGGTTATTTGAGGTAAGTGAAAGCTCTCCACACCTCGCTGTTCAACCTAATGAATCCAGTAGGTTTTAAAGCACATCTGCTTAAAGAGACTGGCTCATTCGCACCCGTCTCAGACATTATTTCAGTGCTCTGTTAATTCCGTTCCTCCCATCTCCTCTGCACTGGTCCAAGCACCAGTTCTGCTTCTTGGGTTGATGAGGAGCTAGGGACAGAAGAGCATCAGGAGAGTCTCCCGAGCACTTTCTCCTACAGTGGAGCTGGCCTAAGGAGCCTTCTCCCTCTTCCCTCAGTTGTGCAGATGTACAGCCCTGATCTGTCTCTCTTGTCCTGGGAATTGCTTGAAACTCCACATATTCCCATTCCATCCAAGATTAATCACCAGCCTCTTGCTCCTTCTGTGATGAGGCTGCCGCTGCTCTCCCCATCTCCCAACCAAAATGCTCTACAATAAAATGATCGGGCAGGCTTAGGAGACAGCAAAAGCTTCAAAGCATTAAATGCTAACGCTTCCTGCTACCCTTTGAGAGATCAAACACGCTGCAGCGTTAGCCCTGCAGCAGCAGCAAATGCACTAAATCTTCCCGAGCAATCGGGATTTCAGTGACAGTGCAGGATTGTGTGTAAGGAGAAGCGAGAGACTGATTTAAGGGGAAGATTAAAATGACTAAGTATGTATTTCTCAGCCAAGCCACTGCTTGGGAGCAATGTGACAACTGTGTAGAAGAAGCTGAAGGGCACAGAGAGCGAGGAGATGGGGGGATAGTTTGGGGTGACATAAAGGTTTGTGACCAGGAGCGATGGCACTTGGCAGTGCCACGTTTAACACCTATCAGTGCCTGCATGGGAGGACCCTGCAGAAGCCGCTTTTCCCAACGGGATGGACGTGGGTTCGGGGTCCAGTGACGCTTCCCCACGGAGCATCACATGGGGACTGAGCGCTTCCCAGCTCAGAACTAAAAAATAATTAAAAGCAAAAGCCCTCTGAGAGCTCTAAAGAGATTAGAGGCATCACGAGGCCAGAAGGATGAGTGATTTCCCCTAAAAAATAAAAACAACAACAAAAAATAACTTTTAAAAAGGGAAATATATATATATATCTGTCGGAGATGGTCTTAAATCGCCCCAAAGAGGAGGTGAACGCGGGCTGGT